TGTCAGCACAAACTTGTAGATTTCCTCCTAAGACCGTCGAGACGCCTCCACGTGAGTCTCGAAAAGTACTCACCCGTCTGTTGAACTGCGCATGTCTTGTCCTTGAGGTTCAGCGCCTCAGAGTGGGCACACGCAGCCCCGTTCGTTTACGTGGGTGACATCACCGCCACGAACTCTAGTACTAAATATAACCTCTTTGTGTGGGTGACATCACTGCCACGAACTCTAGTACTAAATATAACCTCTTTGTGTGGGTGACATCACTGCCACGAACTCTAGTACTAAATATAACCTCTTTGTGTGGGTGACATCACTGCCACGAACTCTGGATGTAGGTAGTCCTTCGTTGCCGAAAATGACAATGAATCCAGCAGCTCACCTGTGGACGTGCATGTGGCCGGCTGTGCAATCCGATCCTGGATGTACAATGTGGGGACACTGGAATGTCGTGGTTGTGGCGGTTGGCTTATGTCTCCTCTCTCTTCTGATAGTCATCTTCTCCCAGTAGTTGGTATCACTGTTTCTGCTGGCAATACGGACGGCACTGCGCCAGACGTTCCTTTCGGAGGCAGTTCTTTCGAATTCTTTGTTGGTAACCTGTGCAAACTGGAGGTTTTCCTTTATCGTGTCTTTGAGCCGCTCTTTTTTGGCCTTCCCAAATTTGTTTTGCCACTTGCGAGTTTACCGTACAACAGTTGTTTGGGCATTCGGTGGTCTTCCATGCGGATGACATGGCCGACCCATCTCAGTTGGGCTTTGACGAGCATGCTTTCTATGCTTTGTTAGCTTGATCGGTTGAGGACCTCAATATTGGTGATGAGGTCTTGCCACCGGATGCCGAGTATGCTGCGGAGAGTCCTTCGGTGGAAATTAGTTCTTAATAGAACATCTTTGGTACCATCCAACGATTTACTTTCTCCCTGTGTTGTCCTGGGCTTGAGGCAAACCTGAGTAACGGTACATTTTGGCACACTCACTGCATTCTTAGACTCAGGGAAATACATGGAAAATAATTCCTAAAGCAATTTCAATTGAAGATGTAAAAACTATCGCAGTTTGGAAAGCTAGTTCTATCTTCTGAAAACACAAACACACGTCACACGTTTTGTCATGACTCACCTCAGTGATTGTTCCTGGAACACCAAATTATGTTACCACAGTATGGTGTAATTGGTCGCGTTGAAGCTCAAGGGGGCTAACGCGAAACATACTGTTTTGAGAAAATCAAAGGTAACGTTTTTGCCCCTTGTTCAGTTTCTTTAAAAGACAAGGAAAGTTTTGTCTATAACCAGACAAATACATACACCAATGAAACCAAACTTTTCCTATAGGTAGGGCAATGCCCACTTTTGGTGTAGGTCAAAGTTTCTGGAAACCCCCGAAATCTGGGTTAGCCCGCATGTCCTTAAAAGTGACCAAGTTTTGTCAAAGGGAATGTAATCGTTGGATCGTACTGGTATTCAAATTGTATCGATATTGTCAAAAGGTGCGTGGCTGTAATACCGCGCGGCTTTCATATGTTTTTTCACTGTTTTTTTCCGAAAGATCACAGCTCTGGGGTTTTCGCTATCAAGAAGTCAGATTCTAGGCCTATGTCTGAGTGGTTTTGGTTCCAGAGCTAATGGAAAGAAAATAATGAAAGCGATGACGCCTTTCTGCAAACACCGCCTAGTGGTTTCTGCCACTCCCTCGATACTCTGCCGACTGGCTTCTCCTTGTATCTTTTTCCTGCTACAGTTCAGGACGGACTTTTTGAAAATCTTTACCTCTCGGTATCTTTTTCTTCTTATAGTTCAGAACAATATCTATAAGTTATCTATTTTTTGTTCTATAGTTCAGAACAACATCTAAAAGTTCTCTATTTTTTGTTCTATAGTTCAGGACAACATCTAAAAGTTCTCTATTTTTTGTTCTATAGTTCAGGACAACATCTAAAAGTTCTCTATTTTTTGTTCTATAGCTCAGGACAGCATCTAAAAGTTCTCTATTTTATGTTCTATAGCTCAGGACAACATCTAAAAGTTCTCTATTTTTTTGTTCTATAGTTCAGGACAACATCTATAAGTTCTTTATTTTTTGTTCTATAGTTCAGGACAACATCTAAAAGTTCTCTATTTTTTGTTCTATAGTTCAGGACGAACTTATATCTCTTCCTCTCCAAATCTTTTTCTTTTTAAAGTTCTTGACAGACTTTTAAATTTGGCACTTACAACACATATAGATCTAGGTCAAACACACGACGGCTAGAGGCGTTGCGAGAGAGAAACATGCACAGAAAAAAACAAGGAGAGAATCAGGTCGACAGAAGGTTAGATAAAGGAAAAGTGGGACAAATCTCAGCAGAGCACCACACCCACCAACCACCCACTGACCACTCACTGACCACCCACTGACCACCCGCCGACCACCCACCGACCACCCACGCACAACTCAGTGACTTGATGAAGTTCGTAGGTTCGAATCTCGCAAAGAGCCTCCACCCCACGTTATGCTCCCGGGAAAAGCACTTCACACCCCTTTCCCTCTCTTCACCCAGGTAGGAACAGGCACCAAGACAGAGGTAGAGAAAGTGTTCTCAGTAGGTTGCTGTTATGACGCCTGTAATCGGCAGCTTGCACTGTATGCTTCATGGGAATCAGAGCACGTTTCTGAGCGTTCTGGCGTCTGTTGAGATAACAAAAGTAGTGAAGAGCATTGAGCAAGCTCTGGAGCATGGATGACAGCTATCTATCTATCTATCTATAAATACCCCCCCCCCCCAAATCCAGGGCAGTGCTAATGACTGAAGTGTCTTTAGACCATTCCCAAAGGGGGGACATTAACATGTTCTTATGCACAGTAGAATTGTAAATGGGCTGATTCATCAATGTCATGCCCATACTGTGCTGAAACAACATTCGGGGAACTGCAGCTTTTTCTTTCCTCATCCCTACAGTCATCATTTTTCCTCTACTTCTTTTGTATGTTTGTCACTCTCTTGTGACCTGCTATTTCCGGGGTGCCTTGATAGTCGAGGCAGACTTTGTGCTGTTGAGGCTAGAGAAGTGAACAGAGTAAGTCTGATTCCCCCGTTTGGACTTCTCTGTTGACATCCACCCCTTGGAGCTCATATGACCTTATGCAGATGCGAGAGCCGTACATTCTTACAAAAAACAACCCCTCCCCCCCTATA